ATGTGCCGTCATATTTGCTGACCGAACTGTGGTCGCTCTGGCGTGACACTCTACTTTCGCACCTCACACCAGTTCTGTACTCAACTCCGGTTGACTAGATCATCTGCAGTGTCTCAAAAACGCCCATGGATGACGCCTGATCTGCTAAATAATATCCGCACAAAGCAAAGGTTTTACAGGAAATACCTCCGAACACGGACGGCTGAAGACTGGGACCAGTTCACAACTCAGCGAAACAAGACAACAACTCTTCTCCGTAGTGCCAAGTCCAAATTCGTTCATAAATCAGCCAATGCCGACAACCACTGTGACCAAACCCATACAAACCGACCAAACCTCTACAAACTAACTTATGAAGACCCTTCGAATTTCACCAAGAAAGGAAATGCCAGCTTTGAACCATGATGGCAGGAAGCCCACATTGAACTTAGAGCAGGTAGAAGCATTCAACAGCTTCTTCATTTCAGACATTATCAAAACAGGAAAAATGAAGATATTTCTCCTACACCCTAACAAAAAGTCTGCTACAGGCCATCAGAGAGTATACAGTACTGAAAGACGGAGACAGAAAAAAGTGCCGGCACCGCATCGTCATAGCAATAGACATGGCAACGACAATAAAATACAGCAGAATCATAATTTCAGTTGAAAAATTAAGAGTGCTACCACAAAGAGTTTCTTCATGTTTACATGTGTATCAGGAAGTTGTCAAATACAGTACTGCAACAAGTGCAAGACTAGTATTTGACGACTCCCTGGTGTGTAATTCTGAGGACAATTTTTCTTCTTTTTTTCAGCTCCAGATAGCTGTATTTTTCATTGCAAAACAATCCTGAATTGTTGTGTTTGTTGTTCAAGCAAAGGTAAAAGCAGAGGACAGATGAGCCTGGTAAGAGTTTTGCGTGGCACATGAAGACCACACACAAGCATCCGCGAAGCGGCGGATGCTTCATCCGATTCAGGCTATTGGCGATAGAATCTCTCTTGGAGACCCCTTGAAAAGGCGGATCTCGGCCGAGCTCCTCCGCTATCCCTTGCATATCAGGACATCAGCACGTCGTCCCTACATCCCCTATGTTTTGTCCTTTTCCTCGTTTCTTTTTGTTCTCCACCTGTATTCCAGTAGGGCTGTGTCAATAGTAAAAAATAAAAATAAAAAAAATAAAAAAAGACCCGCTGACGAATAGCTGAGGGTGGGCCCTACACTGCCTCAGCAGAATGAGATCCATGGTAAGGTCGACCCTCAAATATTTGGCACACTTTGAGTTGCCCTCTCCCTGCGGGGAACTCACCATAGACGCAGATGCCGAGACAACGCCAGCAGGGCTACTGCAGTACTGGGAGCAGGAGGCATACCGGGGCTGGTAGTTGGTGACAAAGCCATGATTCCAGGATACTTGAAATGAAACAAAATGCACACTTGATAAAACTTTTCACAGTTCGAGAGAGAGGAAAGCGTCAAGATTGACAAGAAGTCCGGTTCGACTGTGCCTTGTGCACTGACATTTACAACTACGACTAGTACTTTAGTAAGAACTAGTAGCTACATGCACAAGAATGAGTACTCGTAGTGCGCCGTGTACTAGAGCACGCGCGGAGCATTCGAAAAGTATTCGAAAAGTAATTTCTGTTTGCGGGCATTTTTCAGTCGAACAAAGCCCTAGTTTCGACTGATTGAGTGCTTTTCGTGACGATTCTCGAATTAATTTCACTCGAATATTCGATTTGCTGATGCTCCGTAATTCTTATTATTCTTTCATTCAACATCATATGCCTCCACTGATGATCTCAGGAGGAGCGAAACAGCTGTCTGGAGGGTCATTGCCAATATCAACCTATAATACCGGTCGTTGGTGGGACATCTTGGCAAGTGATGGCCCAGCTTATGGATATTTCCCAAATGCATCAAAATCGATTCTGGTGGTGAAGGAGCGTTGCTATCGTGAGGCACTTGAGCTGTTCAGCGACACCAGTGTCGTCGTTACGTGTAATGGAGCCCGGTACCTGGGGGGCAGCCATCGGCTCAGCTGATTTCAAGGAGAACTTTGTATCGACTAAGGTCCGGGAGTGGGCTGATGAGCTAACTCGGTTGGCTGATTTCGCTCGCTCGCAGCCCCAGGCAGCATATTATGCATATGTCATATTATGCATATGCCTCGGGCTTGAGAAGTCGCTGGGCTTTCCTATGCCGCGTTCAGTCTATTTCTCCGTCCCAGTTCCAGCCACTGGAGGACGTGATAACCACGAAGCTTATACCAGCAATGACAGGTCGGCCACCGCCTGGCACAGTGTTGAGGGAAGTACTAGCAATGCCCTGTCGTTTGGGTGGCCTGGGCCTGGTCAGCCCGATGACTTTGTGCGCCCAGTATGAGTCGTCTGTCGCCATCACAGCATCTCTCTCCCGGCGTATCGTGGATCGTGTTTCTGATATTGGGAATTCTCTGATTGGCATCCAGCGGGAGAAGGCAAAGAGGAAGAAGGAAGTGCGTCATAGCCAGGCGGAGTCGGCACGGCATATCAGCAATGATGCGTCGGACGCCTTGCGACACACCATTGTCCTCGCCCGTGAACCTGGCGCCTCGAGTTGGCTGACTTGCCGTCCATTGAAAAGGTATGGTTTTTCACTGAGCAAAGCTGAGTTCATGGACGGCTTGTGCCTCCGTTATGGTTGGATGCCGCCGAGGTTACCAACTCATTGCTCTTGTGGACGGGACAATGGTATTCACCATTTTTTTTTTTTTTTTTTTTTTATTTACTTGAAAAAGCACATAACCACCAGGAAAGCTGACAAAGAAAAAAGAGTAAGAAAAGACAGATAAAAAGAGAGCTGAGAGAGAGAGAGAGTTGGGGTACGGTTAGGGGAGGACGAGACATTGAATGGTGGTCGCCACAGTCACAGATAGTAGCAGTGCTGGTGAGGCTACAGGCACTCCACTGACCATTAGGTCTCAGTATCGCCATGCCGGTAACGCACCAAGAGACAAAAACGGAAGAAAATCTGAAGCGCAATACATGAATGGTAATTACAATATAGGTAATAGGGAGAGTGGTGACCAAGAGAGGACAGTATAGACCGTTAGTATGGGGTGCTTCAATGCACATCCCCAAACCGAGAGGTGCGATCTGGAAAGAACAGTGAGACGATCAACATGATGGGCTTCAAAGCACGTCCCAAGACCATGGCTGGTCTGAAATGTGTTTGTTGACACCTTTTTTAAAAGCTGTGAGTGGAGAGTGATTGGCCAGACGGGGAAAGACGTCCTCGGGGAGGCTGTTCCACAATTCAAGGAAACAGTAGGGGAAGGAACGTCGAAGGTAATCGGGACTGGTGCCGGGGGTGGTGTTTAAGAGCTGTTCCCCGTGCTGGCATTGAGCCACAGCTGCAGCCACTCACTGGAGAGAGAATGAGATACAGGTCTGCTATTGTGGAGGAGCATGCGCGGCTTGATGTAGCGGTCAGTGGTTTGTGGGGCAGTCGTTTTGAGCGTACTTTACTTGATATACGGGTTTTTAATCCTCATGCACGCTCAAATCGATCTGCACCACACACCACTGTCTATCGGCGCCATGAAAAAGAAAAGCGACGATGTTATGAAGAGAGAGTGAGAGAGGTGGAGCATGCGACGTTCATGCCTGTTGTGCTGTCGGCAAGTGGTGGCATGGGAAGAGCGGCGACATCACTCTATCGCCGAATCGCGTTATTGAGAGCGGAAAGGAGGAAGGAGCAGTACTCCCACGTAATATCTTACATCAGATGCCGTCTCTCATTTGCCCTGTTGAGATCATGCATCATGTGTTTGCGGGGTGCACGGGGTCTTTTCCGTGAGCGATCGGTTCGGCATCCGGAGTCTGCTGAGCTGGTTGTTGCTGAGGCCCAGGTTGCTCGCATGTGAGAATCTATAAATTGCAGCAGATTATTTTTATTATAAATACTGGACATGGATATTGAATTAAACTGTACTCAGTGACTTTTTACATTCTACAGGCTACGTTTTATTGTTGTTATTATTGCAAAGCTTTCCTTTTGATCTTCAAAATTTGAGTAATAATGATAATAATAATCTTGCCTCTGTTTTCTTTACCTGCTACATCGTACTTACAATTTTTTTGTTTTCTTTGAAAGAAAATATTCTTGACTGTGTGAAAAAATAAATAAGGCCAAAACAAAAAATAGGCTTGTTTCCGGTCGGCAACCCCTCAAAAAGGAGACTCGGTCGGCCGGAATGAAACTTTTTTTGGATACTTTTTTTGGTTCCTCAATCGTTGTGGTATTAATGGACAAGAGCACCTACACATGTACATTGTACATATATCATGGCAAGGGTCAATGTCAAAGTTGACTGACTCACTGTTCTTGTACAGCATGTGGTGTATTCCTGTTTTCGTACATCCTGAGAAATCAAGCAAACAGTTCGAGTCCTTCCAGCTCCGTTATTCTAGCTCGTATCGACCCCGGAGGTTTTCGAGCCGACAGCTGAGAATCTCTGCTACCTTGTAGGTGTTTCGATTGTGGAATTCGGTTGAGATTTGACTGAGTTATGACTCGTTGAGTGCACTTGCACACATGGCATTGCCACCGTTTGTATACATTTGGGACCAAAAAAAGTTTCAGAATTTGGGAAAAAGTGGCCCGGTCGGGCGACCGGAAACAAGGTCATTATTTGTTTTGGCCTAATAATAATAATACCGGAATTGTCCTCGCTGTGGTGATGGTGATGTGAGTGCAGAGTTTGGATCGGCCAAGAGCGAAATGTGGTGGTGTGGTGTATTGCTATTAGGTAGAGTACCGGTAGATCTAAAATTCCCGAGCTCGAGATACTAAATTTGCAAGGTGCACAGATTTTCATGAATTCTTTCAAAATTTGGGTTGCATTTCACTGGATCTCAAAAACTACAGAGCAGTACAGAGGGCACTGAATGAACTTTGAACCCATATGGTCAGGGAAGCTACCTCTAACCAACTTTCTGTGGCTGTGTTCCAACCTCTCTCTCTTCTTCGACTCCATCGGCATCAACATAGTTGAGAAAAATAGAGCTCGTAGTTTTGTACTTGTTGCTGGCGAATGCTGTTGACGCCTTGTGCTTTCTTTCTCGTGGCTTGTAAAGTTTTCGGAGTTTCCGGTGCGTTGTAATCTTGTTCGCAGCTGGAAAGCCGGTACGGAGGCTGCTAGAAAAGAATGGATTTGCTTTCGAAAGTCTCCTCAACCACTGTTGTCTTGCTGGTAGCAGTCATGGCCGCGAACATTCTGGAAACCAACGGATGTGAGTCGAGTGCTGTGTGTTGTGTTTCGCACTTGCCTCTTCGCCGGTGTGTTTTTTTCTTTTCTCTCTCTGCCTCAATCAATGCCAGTCTGGTCGCCCGGCGGTAGAGCATCTGGAAAGAAACTCACACATCCCCGATTTCCTCTCGCATGTTTTGGCTATGCATTTGCACCCGGTCATACAAGTACAGTAACTGCTCGTATATTATGTACCTGGGTGACAGCATGACGTGTGGGATGTGGTCTTAGACCCTGCTTCGGATTTCACGCGTTGGGCTCTTCCTCGGCCTGTCCCCGATATCATTATCCATCTTCATCATCTACGACTGTGTACTACAACTGACTGTGTGAAACCAGCGGAAGGACTTTGGTTTCACCCCTCTGCCATGTTTACGGGCTGCGCCTACATTCTTGTGGGTGCAGCACCTCTCACCCGTCACTGCGCGTGAGAGTTTTGTCGGGAGCGCGTTTCCTGCTCACACCTCGATGCCCTCGGGACCGTAGTAGTAGCAAAGCGACTCGCGGAGGTTTGGAACTAAATCATCCAGGTCGGTGTTGTGGGTTGGCCATTCAATATTTTCTTTTCCATTTTGGAGTAGTCTACTAATCGACGAGAAGGAACAACGTAGCCGGAAGGATCAGTGGTAATTCCCTGGTCAGCCCCGGTTAGTATAATACATAAAATAGTTCCCTGTTACGTGTTATCTATGGCTGGCGACCTCTGCTCTCCCGATGTGTGGCCTATAGAAATCGCTGCATGCTGTGCCATTCGGCTGAAATCATTGACAAGAGCTTCCAGGTTCCGCGCGTATTGTTCCTGTGTAGCGAATTTAATAATTACCTTCAGAGCCGCTAACCTCAACTGAACAGTCACGTTTGTCCTAGTACCAGTACCCTTGTCTTTCATTAATATTTTCGAGCTGGGTGTGTGAAGAACATAGAAACAAAAAATTGAAAAAAAAAGAAGAAGAATTCCAGCAATGTTTCTGCACAGTCCTGAAGTAAATACAGTGCTCAAGCGATGCTTTCCATAACGTTAGTTGAATGATGCTACCGGTATGACACAGCAAGCTGCCTATCCAGCTCCAACGGAAATGCTTTCACCAATGTCAGGATGAGCAAGCCATACCAGGGGCGTGCTCGGCCCCCCAACTAGGGGGGTGCACGGAGCCGAGGGGAGCCCCCCCCCGGCAATTTTCTGCAATTTGTTTGCAACCTTTCTTGAATTTTAGAGCATATTTGCATACATTACAATTGCAATTACCCAGATTGAAAATTTTTGGGGGGTGCACGTGCCCCCCGTGCCCATCGCCGAGCACGCGCCTGCATACGAGCAGCTACAAGCAGCTACAGTCGACTCCACGTATGACAAACTCACATAATTATAGCGAATTTTGTGATATAGCGAACCATTGCCCATGTCCCTGTTTGAGCCCATACAAAATTGACCGTTTGTAGCGAGCAGTTTTCGTCAGTTAAACAAACCATATATTGTACTTGTAGGGCGCGCATGCAAACCAAATGCAGTAATACAGTCGTAGGTCATATGCCAGTCTTGACCTGCTGCTTGTATAGTGTGAGTGCATTTCTGTTACGGTCAGATCTTGCTTATCTGGTCCTCTTTTATCCGGATCCCTCGCCATCCGGTAGAAAATTGCTGGTTACCGATTTACAGCATACGCCATGCTTACATACAGTCTGTGTGTTCGATTATCCGGTTCCCTCGCCTTTCCGGATATTTTCGTGGAAAACGGATGTGTGCGGTTAAGCAAGGTCTGACTATATAAAGAACTTTGACTATGGAGGACTAAATAATTCTCCTTCACAATGGTGCTCGTTATATCAGGCGCCGACCGTATATGAGTGCAGTGGCTGAGTTTGTTGCTACCTCCTCCCAACACATACAGTGGATTCACATCTGTCACATGACCATAGAGGGCAACCGTGTTGGTTCCAACTCCACTCAACTCCTGCATCTATGGATCAAGTTGTTGTCGTCGTCGTCGTTGTTGAGATTATGTTTTGTATTTCACATCAAACGGGCAATGATGCAAGGGATGTCGGCCATGTTTGTTCCACTGTCCATATGACATGATCACTTTCTACATAAATTTAGTCACATGACCGTGATGTGAAATACAGTCAGACCTCGATTATTCGGTCCTCTTTTATCCGGATCCCTTGCCATCCGGAAGAAAATCGTTGGTTACCGATTTACAGCGCATGCCATGCATACATACAGTATGTGTGTTCGATTATCTGGTTCCCTCGCCTATCCGGGTATTGTTTGTGGAAAACGGATGTGTGTGGTTATGCGAGGTCTGACTGTAGCTCTATTCTACTATTATCTCAGCAGATACTGGTGAGTCCGATTTAAAGGGAGATGACATGAGCACAGAAACATATCTTACCGAAACGATATTGCTGATACGTGGACCATGGTGTCGAGACCCTTGGTCGGAGGAGTTACTTCTG